AGGAGTCCCCTCGGACAGGCATTGGTCGACATTTTCCTCGGTGAATGCTCCAAGTCGGCGCGCGTGTTTAATTCCGCAGTTAACTTTCAAATGTTGTAGTTTTCTGATGACTTCGCCCAGGTCTGCCTCATGCCGAGCATGGGGCGCAGTATCACCTGGCTGTTCAGGTAAATAATAATAATAATAATAATAAAACAGAATTTAGGATACATCCATGGGAGTTAGCTCCCGAATCAAGTTTATGAGATCAATTATATTTTAGTTTAATGAGTTTAGTTTTTTGAAGTTTAAGCATCTTGTGCATCCGCAGTTGATTCTCCAGGTGCAGGTATTGACTTCATTGTAGATTTTCTTGTAGAATTGCCAGTACACTCTTGATATTTTTGGTTTAAACGAGTCACTTAATAGGACTTCATATTTCAGGTGATCGTGAAATATGTTTGTCAGGCTGCAGGCGCGTTGCCAGAAATCAGACTCGCATTTATGAAGTCGAAAGATCTTCGCGTTGAAACGTCTTGTTGTTTTCGGTCGATTTGTTTCAGTGATTTCAATAAATCGCCACCATTCCAGGTCGGTCTTTCCTCTTAGAATGTTCGCGAACAAAAGTAGTACATGCATTTCTTGGTAAAGAGACAAGGGAAGAATTGGAATTTGTTTATTTCCAAGTATCCATTTCGTTGCTCTCTGTCGCACTTTTTCTAGGGTGGCAAGATCTTGCTTTGAGGGTTTCCAGACTGATGATGCATAGCTAACGATAGATACTACATAGCTTTTATATGCATTTTTCCTGTTGTTCATGGTTGTGGCAGGTGATAAGTTTCTTTTGATGCAGTATAGGGCCTTCAGTGCTTTGCTCGCACGATTGTTTGCAGGAGAAGTCCAGTTAAGATTTTTTGACATTATCATTCCAAGATCTTTAAGTTCGTTAGGCTGTTCGAATTTGTACGAGAATATGCTTAGGTTGCACTCGCCCTTAATTACTAGTGTTTTGTTCTTGGTCATATTGAGGCGCATTTCATTGGTTTCACACCACTTCCAGACTTTTCTAATATCGATGTGCAGGGTAGTCGGGTCGGTGCCCATAATTTTATAGTCATCCGCATAGCCGTAGCACGATGACATGACACATTTTGGCAAGTCGTTGATGTTTACTAAGAAAAGGAGTGGCCCTAGAATAGATCCTTGTGGCACTCCACTATAAATTGGCAGTTGGCTTGAGACCGAGCTGCCGATGCGTACTGTTTGGGTTCGACCGGTCAGGTAACTTTTAATTAGATCCAATATTCGGCCTGTTATTCCAGCTCTGCTGAGTTTTTCGATCGTTATATTGTGATTGACTTTGTCAAAAGCCTTCTGAAAGTCGAGGTAAAATGACGCTAGGAAGTGGCAGTTGCTATTGTCAAAGTTCAGAAACCTTTCGTGCAAGTATTCGATTTGGTTTGTTATAGATGAGCGTCTTTGCCGAAAACCGTGTTGAGATTGGGACAATGCGGTGGATATGATTGGGTACATTCTGTCGAAAATAAGTTTCTCGAGGACTTTGGATATTGCTACGAGGAGGCTGATCGGCCTGTAATTATCTACCATTTGTTTGTTCTCTTCTTTAAATATGGGGATTATTTCGCTGGTTTTCCAGAATGATGGGAAGTAGCATTTGTTTGCAATTGTGTTGAATATGAGATGCAGTGACTTTGGTAAGGAGTCTGATAATTTTTTCAGCAGGTTGCTCCCCATACGGTCAAGTCCTTTGGCCTTGCTCTCGTCCAGCGATTGGAGAACGAGTTGTATTTCTAGTTCTGAGAAATGAATCATTGACAGCTTGGGCTGTCCCTCTGTGAGAGTATAATCGTGGTGATTCTTACTGAAAACGGATTGGAATTACTGATTAAATAATTCGGCTTTTTCGATATCGGTATTAGCTGACTTATCGTCAAGAAATACTTCAGTTGGGATTGAGCTTGTTTTCATGATAGTTTTGAGGTATTTTTGGACGTTTAAGAAGATTCCAGAATGAAAATTTCTGTTTCATGATGTCATTGGTCAGCTGAGAGCGATAAGGACAATTCAGTTTGTAATTGCTGGATCTTTAGGGTATTTGTTTTACTTTGGCGTCTGAGAGTTTCTACTTTTTTCATGAGGTTTGAGCTCGTGGGAGAAACCCAGGGCGCTAGATGTTTCCTATGTTGGGTTGTTCGGGGTATGTGTTTGACTATAATACCGTAGATCCAATTATACCACTGATCTACCAGGAGATCAACGTTGCTGTAGTAGTATGGGTTGAAGTGGTGCTCTCGCACATATTCGTTGATTTCGTTCCAGTTGGCTTTTTTGAAGGCAAAGCCTGAAAATTCGTACTTTTGGGAGGGTAGAGGGACCCTTTCGTGATTTATTTTGTGATTCATATGTAACTTTGAGCCGTAAGGTGGGTGATCTGAGGTGAAGTCGTTTTTGAGCCGATTGTCCATGTATACGTCTAGTATGATATCAGGATTGTTGCAGAGTAGGATATCCAGGCTCTTTCCAGTATCGGTTATGATGAAATGTTGCAGGTTTAATTCCTGGAAGTTGTCTAGGATGCTTTGTTCGTACTCGCATTTTGATGAGAGTGATTTCCAATTTGTGCACGAGAAGTTGATATCTCCAACAATGACAAGATTTTGTATGCCTTGCTCGCGTTGTGTTGCTTTTATTAAGTTCAGCAATGAGTTAAGTTGATCTAGTGACCATCGGTATGGGCTATACACAGGGGCACAATATATACAGCAGACAAGTATTGGTACAGATTTCTTGAGTTGAACCATTACGCAGTCTTGCATGCCTGTATCAATGCGGTTATGTGGTATGTTGGCGTTGATGCCAATTAGAACTCCTCCGTGCTTTTGAAGTTCTTTCAGATCGATAGAGTTCAAATTGAGGCAAGAATATGGAGTTGTCTGTTACGTCGTTGGTTAACCATGTTTCGGTTAGGCAAAGTAGTTGGTATTGACAGCTTGTGTTTATCGCATTTGCGAAGTTTGATCTTCGATTGTAGTCGAGTATGCTTCGGACGTTGTAGATGAGTAGGCTAGGAAAGAGTTCTAGTCAATTGGAGATTGAGTTCTCCGTTTTTTCGGTTGCAACTGCTGTCCATCTGTTTTCTATTTTCTGATAGAGTTTTCTATCGCCGATGCGCAGGTTTTGTTTATCGATGTTTTCGTTTATGAGCTCCCGCCGTTTTTGCAGTGCTTGATTTTCAACTTTTGCTTCATCCACTGATAGCTCGCGGCTGACAAACACAGGTTTGTCATATGTTTTTAGGCGGCAAGCGGATGATAGTATTAGTCGTTTCTGCCAATTTGGGATTTTTACCAGTATGGTTCGGTCCTTGCCTTCCAGTCGTTGACCCATCCGGAACAGATCAACTATCTCTGGCACAATTTGCATGTGCTCCAAGATTTCCTTAACTTGTTGGTGGTCATTTTTATGTCTTTTTCTTTGATCTTTGTCGTTTAGTTCAGGGATGCCGCGGATGCGGATTCCGTTTTGATTTTTTTCGGCGTTGCGTTTATCGGTACCTTGGTTTTTGCTTCTGATTTGATCTCATTTGGCTTCATTGTGGTTTGGGAGAACAGCATTTTAATCTCCTGTAAGTTCTTTCTGAGTTCTTCCATGTCCTCTTCAATCTTCTTGAATTGCTTCGGCGAGGTTTGTTTAGCGTCACTGACTGCTTTTCGGAGTCTCTCATATCCGTTGGAATCCACACATTTGTTGCAGAGTAGAGCAATGTTTTTTCCCAGTGTCGTAATACCATTGATTGCTGTATCGCTTAGGCTGGTACAGCTTTTCGTCAGGTGCATTTTGCAATTACACACGATGCAACAGAATGTATCTTCATTCTTTTTGATTTTTTGTTGGCAAGTTTCGCATACGGAATCAGTGGTCATTTCACGATTTCGTGTCATATTTGTTTGGAGAGGACTCCGAGTCAAAAGACTCAAAGAGTACACTCAGTTATATACTAATGTAGTAAAACTAGAAAGGGACTCCGAGTCAAAGGACTCAAAGAGTACAACCAGTACGAGTTTTACTAACCGTTTTATTGTGGAGTTGCTGAGCGTTGCCTCTTCTTGGCTCTTCGTCGGTTCTTCGATGGTTTGCTTTTCGTGGAGCGGGTTTTGAAGATCGCGTGAAGGTTCGGATAGTAGTGCAAGACTACCGAGAGAGATCGTAGTTCTAGATCAGATGACTGGTGAAGCTCGCGATAAAGTCCTGTGATGTTTTCGTCTAGACTCTCTGATTTACTGATAAGATGTTTTGTAACGTCGATGACAATCGTGTCAAGAGTTCGTAGCTCGTCGAATATATTTTCTGCTCCCGTACGCTGACAGTAGACAATAGCAAACAGATTGTTAAAGCTTCTGAGAGTATCCAGGAGTTGCTGAGTCATAAGGGGTTTGATCTTTTTAAACTCTGTGATCGAATTGTTGATAAGATCGTGCCACAGTATAATAGATTTGCTCGTTGCTCGTATATAATCGGTAACGTTTTTAAATTTAAAGTTCGTCCTTGGGTTCAAGTTAAATCCCTTCTCGGCGTAGACAATTTGCTTTACTATATTTTTCTGTTCAGGGGTTAGACCTTGTTCGATTGAGTGAGAAAGGGAACTTGCGGCTATGATTTCTAACATAGAGATAAAAATAAGGAAATAGATAAGGAAAGAACTCAGCTGGTACTGGAGATGGAGAAAAGAAGTGTAACATTCGCCAGGAAGATACATATCGACGGAAAATAAAACTAAGTCCTAAGACGACTGGCTAACGTCTAAAAAAAGCTTTATATGCTTTTCACCGTCTCTACCAAGCCAGTACTTTTCGGTAATCTTTTCCAACATCGGGTCGACAAAAACGTTACTGCTTTCAGTTTCGGTCAATACGCTCAAATTAACTTAATTACATGCAAAATTAGTGAGCTCATGGCTGGGTCTCAGTATCCCCAGACCACGAGGTCACTCCTAAAACAGGGTTACTACTATTTACTATATTACTATTGTTTTTGTTCAGTAGATAAAATCATCATCTCCATCGAAGATGGATTAACCCTTTCCCCCAACTCCTAGCTTCTCATCCTTATCAAAATGAATCTAGTTGTTAATTAAATTCAATTCAGGACATGACAAGAAGCTAAAAGTTTATATAAAAGGATAAAAGTTTCAGTTCCGAAACCCTTCCGGATTCTTGAATCCACTGAATGAAGCTCGTTAATCTTGGTTTCTTCGTAATCCGGAAGGCTGTCTTCCACCCTTCACCGTTGTCTGCAACGGCCTTGCAACTATTGTAGCGACACAATAGTTGCAACTCGGAACGTTCCACTGTTTTTCTCTATTGTTTTTCTCTCACAATCTTAGTTGTTTTTGTTAGTGCGACTATCGTTCTTTGTTGTTTTTCAGCTTTTCTGCCAAAATGGCCGTTTCTGACGTTTCTCAGAAATGTTACGTAATCACTTCGAAAATTAAAAATTTTAAAATACGGGAATATCCTGGCCTTCACCGTTCTACTAATCATCCGAATAACGTCGTTAATCCTTCAAAATCATTAACTCGGAAGGTTCACTGCTAAAATTTCGAAATCTGCAGAGATTGCATTTTGGCACATTCTGGTCGAATGTCACAAAGGAAGAAGCTGTTTTCCCAGAGACCAGGTTTGTTGAATTTGGTGTAGTGATAATCAGTAGTTAGAAATAGAGGGCCACCACGGCTGCCCTGTTATTCATTTTTAACTGAAAATAACTATTAAATAAGTAAACCGCGGATGCGGATTTCATCGGGTTCTTTGGGTTTCGTTTTCTTTGTAATAGTGGTTTCGCTAGTGCTGGACAAGATAGGATCTTTTTAAGATTTCTTTTTTTTCTCTATCTTTGAGCCACAAGTGGTTGCAATTTTTCCACCAGACATTTCTGTAGGCATTTGTTTTTTTATTTGATGAAAGATCTTCTTTGATTTGATTGAAAGTTTTGCCAGGTGTCATTCTTGCTGTTTCCCAATGCTTAATAAGCAAATCTCGGCGGTTGTTGTCCACGCATTTGTTGCAGAGAAGAAGAAAAAAATTGAATTGTACGCCATGAACGAATGGATTGCTTCGGGTGTGAACCCCGTACACTACTGGCGGAAGTGCATTGAGGTTCCACTAGAAACACTTGTGAACTGTTCATCGTCGGGTTTTATTGCACTAGTACATGTGCCACAGTTCATGGGTGCCATTGTAATGTATGCAGGGTTTTGGATATGAGATTTAGTTAGCAGGATTTGAAGCGAGGCCGGGGTTGAATCTCCCAGTGGTCGATTTTGTTTTTTTTCCGCTTTTCTCTATCGATCACGTGTCGGTCGCGGTGACTGAGATCGAACCTTGCAGTGGTCGCTTTTGTACACTGATTGCTCGTCTGATCGTTCGCGTCAACTTGTCTCTCGTCAATCAGCAGCAACCATGTCCATATATGAAACTATTTATTAAGTTCATCTCTCTAAAACAGTGCATACGCTAGAAACATTCCAAAAATGCGTGCTAAAATGGGTGCTACATGACTATTCGACGAAATACCAATCGCTGCCAGAAATAGTCAACATGCTCCCTCTTTCTCTCAATCTTTCAAAAATATATCAAACATCTGCAACCGACTTCAAACTGGAACTCTTGCATCAGTAGTCGATCATTACTGGAGAAATTCGAACTCCCTAAAGTAAGAACAGAAAAAGCACGAACTGGGTTCTGCTTCAGAACATTCCGAATTGCCAACTATCTATCCCTATGTGTGGACTTTTACAATCCACTCGGACTAAAAAAAATCGCCTCAACAAATTTTTGGGATTGGGATTACTTCAGAAACAAATACAATCACCACAACTGTACATGGGGGGAATTCACAATACCTACCAGTCGAATTGCAAACAGAATTGACAAACACGTTGATTTCACAAACAAAACTGGACTCAAGAACCGAATCCTACAACTGATGTGGAATTTCATGGATGAAAAGTACAACGAAAACAATATTTGCACTTGGCAACTTGCATGCGATTGCAACCAATGCAGAAATAAGTGGACAATCTTCTAATAAAAACGGAAAGGGAGCAACACCCATCAGCCTTGTGCTGTAAATCCACTACAACAACAACAACAACAACATGGCAGTACGCGTGTGACTGTCACTCATGTAGAAACAACTGGAGACATAGGAAATTCATAACAACATCATTCTTTCTCGAAAAGAATTGTAAACGACTTGAATTCGCTCCCGAAAGATATAGTTTAAGCACCATCGATCAACTTCCGCCACCCTCTGCGTCAAGCTCATTTCATTTAAGATTCTCACTGACCAGTGCAAGCTGGTAATAGTAAATTTCACTGGTAGCACTATGCTGATAGTTTCATTTCCAGGAGATGAGTGGTGGTCTTCTACAGATCGTGGTTGTGGTGACCTTATTGTTGGATTTTTTGGATTGAAAAAGATTGATGAGTTCCTGAGTAATAGTTGTTGGAGTATTGTCAGCTGTAAAATGCCCTGGAACAATCCTAGGGCTTACGCAACGAAGTGCACGACTGCTGAGACCATCCACCAAATTGACATCAAAAACTTCTGCTTGCTCGTAATTTTTAAATTACAGTTGCGGCAGACGTAGATCTGGGACAGGAGTGTTTTTTTTTATGCCGGCTTTGAGGAAACTGCAGGATCAACAGCGAAGAATGACACTGCAGTTGACGAAAGCGATGAGATCCAATGATTGAAGGTGTAGAAGGAATCAATACTGGAAGCAGTTGGAGATCGAAGTGCTTACTCATGCTGAATACCCAAGTCACTGTATTATTCAGATTTATTGGTATCCGGGCCAAGTGAAAGTAATAGAACACACTTGTATGGTCACAGTCTGCAAATGCTCCTTTCCAACTAGAAAAATTTCCTGGGGGAACAAATAAGTGTTTGTGCCTTAAAGAGATTCAGTAACAACAGTAGTGAAAAGTGTCAGACAATGATAATATTGACAGAAAAGTGTCAAGGAAAGACCAAGAGAAAAACGCGGCACAGTCTGCAAAACAGCTTTTGGGGAAACCGAGAAAAAAAGCTGACCCCCACTGCCTTGTCATAAGTTGTGTGCAGCAGTGCAAAGGAATTAGGGGACTGCCTCCAACAATCTCAAAAACTCCCTAAACCTGCTACTCGGCACTAAAACTAAATCTGCAGTGTCAATGCCTCTAGATGAAGAAAAGATGAAAAATTAAGACAGCTGAAAAAAGCTGCGAAGAATTGATACGTTTGAAACATTTGAACTAAATAGGAGACAAACAATGCTACATCGAAGAAGAAAAAAATGATTTAATTGTTCACCATGCCATTTCAGCTGACAATTGTAACTTGTAAATGTTTTCTTGTTTATTTGATTGCGGTGACACATATTTGTTTTGAGGTAATCTGAGATTTTATTTAGTTTTTTTTAATGAAAAATGAGTGCTTAAGTTATAAAAAAAAAAAAATTTAAATCTATTGTTTTAAAGCTGCTAGGTTGCTTTCAGTTTTCCAGGAAAGTTGTTTACTTTGTGGCGTCCTGGTCAGGTTAGAGTAGTTTTCCCTCCAATGAGAAAGACTCGATTTTTCTCAGAAAAAGGATTCCTTTGAAGGTTTTAACTATAAAAAAATAAGCGTTTAAATTTAAAAAAATGATCAGAACATGAAAATGATCTTTTAAAGGCTTACTTAAGTGGTCATTTTTGTCCCATGATACCTAAAGAATTTTGCATCCTTCAAAGCCCTTCGTCAATGATTGAGCAAGTACGAGTTTTAATTCTTGGAACGAACGCCCGGTAATAGTGTACTTGTTTGGTCCCTCAAAAATGCTGTGACCAAATTGATACCCCCCCCCCTCAAAGTAAGAGTCCTCGGCTGATTAAAAGGAAGATGTGTACTTGATCTGAGTTTTTTTGCATGTGATTTCGAATAATTTATTGGTGATTTTCATCACAAAAATGTTTTTTATAACCCAGTTGCATATGGTAATTTATTGTTACAAAATAGGATGTTTTGGCCACTCAAACGGCTGCCGTCATTTATAAAGCCAACCAACAGCTATTGTGTGAGTGGCTATTGTATATTGTCACAAGTCACAAAAGGTTTCAACTGGTTGTTACCTCTCTCTTATGTGAATGTGTTTTTAGTTACGCGTTTGCCAATTGAAGCGAATTAGTGATAGCTGTGAACTGTGCTTGAAGAGACTTGCTTTTACGCGTTTCGTCAGATTTGAACATAATCGAACAAATCGTGCTTTAAAATTATTATTTTTAAAAACTGATATTAGTTTTTGTATACGTTGTGATAATGCAAAGACTTATAATTTATTCTTTCAAACTTAGTTTTTGAAAAAGCATAGAAAACAATCCTGTTGATTGCGTTTGAAGAGATGCTGTGTGGGCTTTATCACTGATCCATACTCTTATGTCTCTGAAAAATTCGCGTCACGTTAATGGTAGTATGCCGATTCGGATATCCAAGAGATATCCCAAGAAACAGAAATCTGTCATTATTTCGTCAGAATTCCGAACACCTAGCAACGATGAAGCTAGTTTTAAAATTTCTAGAATTGCAGAGGATAAAGAAAATTGTGTTAACCCTAGTTTAAATTCCCTAGAAAACGGCGAATTATCTAATTTTAGTTCTAACCATCAAAATTACTTGGTTAATGAACTCGATGTCATATTGGAACAAGAAGCAGTTGAATCGCATGGTCGTTTTCGGGTTGTGCAAAGCCCGGTGGAATCAGTTATAGACGGGTAAGAGATTAGTGAAATAGTGAGCAAAATATAAATAAAAAGCGTAGAAATGTGATTACAGTTCGAAAGTTCAAAGTAAAAGAACAAGAACGGGTCTCTCAAAATCATCTCTTACGCACCTGGTTATCAAGAGCTGGGAATTAACTCTAAAATTAGACTTAATGTATTCATGTATAAATTTGGCTAAAAAGTAAAATGAAATGGACATGTTAGGTCAAAAACTTTTCGCGAAGCAAAAACAAAAAAAACAAAGCATGTCAGAAATTTGCGGAAAAAATTAATTGAGCTATATCTTCCGATCATTTGAAAAAGGTGCGAACTTTGTATTCGGTCTGTCTAAGTTTTTTCTTTCTTTTGTGTTCCGACCATTGAAAGTGGGGAGAAACTATGCATTCTGGTGTTGTAATTTTTCTTTTCTTCTTGCTTTCCACGCGAAATCAGGTACCCCAATTAATCATCGGAATGAGTCGATTGATATATCATATTAAAGCCCCTTTCGTCGTGTTAGAAACGACATGAAAAATGTGCAAAAATTATTGAGAGAAGCAGGTGTAATATGTTTGATTTTTTTCTTTAAATTAGTGCTAATGCGTGCTAGCAGGCTTAAATTAGCTTATTTTTGATTAATTTTGGTCGTGAAATTGAAAGACCCCATACTTCCCTATGTACCTGTATACTCCGCTAGTACCTTTTCACTTTACCCCTTTGTCTACAGCCTTCGAAAAAATCTCTGGGGGAATATTTGACCCATATTTTTGATTTTTTTTTCGTTTTCCCAAAAGTACCTTCCCAAATCTGAGATTTTGGCTTCAATGAACTGAACGGATTTGAAAAACTTCCCTGCATGAGCGGTAGCTCAAATTTTAAAGTTGCACAAAAAGTTATGACCGTCGGAATAGTCAAATTTTTGATGTTTTCTTTGTTTTCTGAATCTTTTTGAGTTTTCTCGAAACTTAACTTCACAAATCTGAGATTAAGGGTTAGATGGAGATAAAGTATAGTGTGAAGCTTGCCTACATTAGCGGTCACTCACACATTTTGACAGAAAGATATTACCTTCGGAAAAGTCATTTTTTAAAATTTTAACTACTTTTTTTTTATTTATCTCGAAAGCTTCCTTCCCATATCTGGGGTCTTGGGTTCAATCCTAAGAAAGGGCTGTGGAAAGCTCCTTTACTTTCGTAAATAAGCTTAAATTTTTTTGATGTTAAAAGTTATGGCCCTCGGAAAAGTAAGTTTTGATCTTTCGACCGTTTTTTCAGACTTGGCTTTTTCGTGAACTAGCCTCCCAAATCAAGTTTATGGGTTCAATCGAAAATACACATTGCGTGAATCTATTCTGCATAAACGGCTACGCGCAAATTTTTGTACGCAAAAAGCTATGATTCTCGGAAGTGCCAAATGTTTGATTTATTAATTGTATTTTTAGTTTTTCTCAGTAACTATCCTACCAAATCTGAAATATAGGTTTAATCGATTTTCATTTCAAATCGGAAATGAAATGTTCAATCGAAAAACGGTGACTTCTCAATTTTTTTAATAAAAAATGTTCTGTCCCTGGGGTAGTTCCATTATCTGAAAAATAATTTTAGTTCAGAAACAATTAGGGTTTGAGCAAAGTCCTATTTTTGAAATTACGCATTTAGTCCCGCGTCAGTAAAACAATTTCAATAATATCAAACACGTACCTCCAGCTTTAGCTGGTCTTATATTTGTCTTTTATCGAGACATACGAAAGTTTTGACTGGCCTAGTTTTTTTCAACATTTTAATTTTTTTAAATGTTTTTTTTTTTACGTTTGTGATGTTTCATTTTGTGTGGTTTTTTTTCAGGTTTTTTTGTCACGTGGAATAGCTGAAGCACTTCATAATTTAATTTTTCAAATCATATTCAGCGTCTTGTTTGTTACGTTTGGCGGAGATGCATTATGTCTGAGACGACAAAGGTCCAGGGTTCGATCATAAGTTGTTCTTTTTTGTGAAATTAAATTGTTCCGTCAAATGACTGAAGTATCTTAAAAACGTTTTCCCAGATTCATACCGTAAAAATTAACCATAAATCCACTGAAAACAAAAAAAACTTTCAGTAATCTGCCAAACTAAGAAGCAAATTGTGGTTTGATTTCATGTTTTTTTAAGGCCGGACGCTTGGATCTAATTTACACATGCGCTAGTACACAAATTATATCAAAAGGTTCGAAGCTTACATGTAAGTATCAAAATAGAAGTTAATTAGACCAGTTCATATATCCTATTAAACGTTTTTTGCTTGCTTAAAGAAAGAGTTTCCGTATGTATAAGAACCAAGACAATTAGAATAAGAACCAAGACAATTACAATCTAGAAAATCATATGGTTTTTTTTTGAAGAATCCGATTTATTATCTGTCTAAACTCCCCGACTTTGACTTACTACTGCCACCATTATTGAAAAAAATCAAAAGAAAATCCTAAAATTGGAATTTCCAATTTGAGACTGAATGAGAGAGACTGGAAACAAGCATATGGCCAAATTCAGGCGTTGAAGTCAATCATTTTAAGCAGTGAATGAAAAAGAAATTATGAGCAGCTGATTGAGCAAAAAATAACCGTCACTGGCGTTCAAAGGTGGGGAATAAGAAATAACTGAGTTACAGAGTATCTAAAATGTTATGTTGGTGACCTTTTACGTTGTTTTCCAATTTCTCAATCTTTTTTCTAAATTATTGACTGCTGGTAGACGTTTTTGATTATAAGCGATAGATAATGCTTTTTTTGAAAAAAAATTGAGCCAAAAACATTAATCGGGCAGGAACCATATAGCGTCATTTAAGCACCTGAGAGAGAATATTAAAAAACAAAAAAATCCATAAATATAGAATTTTCCATTTTTTTTAATTTAAAGTTAATTGGAAATACGGTCTTCTCATATTGTAATTTTTTTCAACCTTGTCATTTTTTCTGAGACATTTTTCGCGATAAGAAATAGCAAATTGGAGCTTTGTTTATGAAGAAAGTGTCATGACACAGTATTCGGTTCTTAATTTATGTTCAAGTCTAAATTGTCTAAGATTTAATTTTCTCAAGGTTTCGTCGAAGAACATGTCAATTTAGACTTTGCTATGGGTAATATGAGCGATAGAAAATGAGCATGATTTTTTCAATCAACAAAATAAATCGAACCATACCGTGACATACCACATCATACTTTGTGGCACGTCGTGATCACGCTATAACGACATTGATTGATGGATGTTTTTATACCTCCAGCTCGAAAGGGGCTTGAGAGAGACAAAGAAATCTGACGATTAAATTATTCAGATTCAGAGAGAATTGCGTGGTTGTTGTTTTTTTGCACCTGCTGTTAATAGGCCTGATGTGCCTTTTCAAACAGCCGATTGCTCAAAATGTCGAAGCGGTCATCTTGGTACGAAAGGTTAGTCGCTATAAGACGTTAGATAATATCATTTTACCTAATTATTTTTTGTGTTTGATCTGACTTGCTCGACAATTTTCCTCATATTTGTGTCGATACCGTTGCAGTGCAAATTTATAACATATTTACGAGGTGAGTCTTCAAAAAACCGATTCATCGATTTTTTTTATTGAAGCAATTTCTTTGTTTATGAAGAAAATCTTCACTGAATCGAAACGATTGATATCAGTTCAGTGAACGACTGAAAATGAGACCATAATGAAAAACTGCTCTTTTGGAATATATTGTGGTAGTTTTTTAGTGAGGTTCATTTGAGGTAATACTGAAGATTTAGCTGCGCCATTAAAACCTCTTAGAGCTACAAAACCACGTGCATTAAGAACCGTTGTTTGTACCTTTTGCGTAGTTTGGTCTCAATTTCTCTACCGTGTGCACCACTTACACGTACTTGGTGGTACATAATCTGCATTTGCTGGCCTTTGATTTTTGCTAACGTTATTATTTTATGAGGCAAAACATCAATAATTGAGAAAAAATAGCACTTCAGTGCTTTTATTTTTGTTTGTTTTATACCATTGATGTGTAAATTTTATATACCCTGAATGAGTTTTAGTTCGAAGTGCAAATTAAAGTTTTAATGTTTTTTGGACTGAAGAATGAAGTTTTTCTCGTTTCTTTTTTGCATTGTTTATTTTGGAGACATCGCTTCTAGTGTTTTCTCTTTGGGACAACTACGAGCCCCGAAAACTTCTTATCTATGGCAGCAATACTGGATAACAGCAAGTATGTTTTCTTCTTACCTTTTCCACTCATCCATTCAGAAGTACCTCAAAGTTTGTCGGCTTTTTTTTAGAAGATCAGATATATAGGATTTTTTTTGATTTTAGCTTCATTGTTTATTTTTGAAGAGTATACGTTCGCTGAAATATAAGGTGGCCTCAATCTGTACACCTATGTTTCATATGATTGTTACTTCTAAAGTTTTTATTAAGAAAAACAGAAAGAAGGTTTTTTTTGTTAATTTTTTTTGTTACCCAATGTTAAAATCAGTCTTTTTTTGAAATAAATAAATTATTCTGAAATTCTGAAATCATTTTTGTCTTTAATTTAGAAATCAGAGGAGTTTCTGGCTGGCAACATGTTTTACAAAATCATTTAATTGCGGGGTCTATAAAAATTTAAGTTCGTTAGCTTCTCCGAAACTTTTAGACAAAAGGTAACGACGTCAGAGTCCTGGGTTCGAATCCGGTCAGGACCAATTTTTTTAACAGTTTTTTTCATTTGTGGAAATTGACGACCTATCGTCTGTTTTGTCAGCTTAGTTGTCATATTACCGAATTTCATTGTGGCTGAAAGGTTTTTTTTTAATTTATTCCTGTAATTTTTTAATAATTAACTCCTGGTTTTGTATCATTTCCTGTCTCATTTCGCTCAAAAAATTCATTCGGCTTATATTATGGTTTCGGCTAATGTCATATCGGCTTAGCGGCCTAATTTCGCGTTGTTTAAAATGAATGAAAGAGACCTTTATATTAATGTTTTTCCAAAGAAAGAAAGCGTAAAGTATTAGAATATCAGAACTTGATATTTTTTGAGACAATAGTTGTGCTCTCGGCTCAACAGGCGTTTACCTGGCTTTCACAAGATTGAATTAGCGTGAAAATAATCGCTGGAAAACTTTTTTGTCCTCTTGTTTTTTTGCTGTTTTTTAAATTTATTTTGCTAAAATAAATGATTGGAACTTCGATTTAGTACGTAATAATACTTGTTTCAGTTTCGGAATCAGAGAGTATTTGAAATTTGAAGTTTTCTATTTTGTTTATTTTCCTTTATTTAAAGCCATTTTGTTTCCTCATTGAGTATCCTGAGCCCTCATGAGCTTGTATTTTGTTTTCTGATGAATGATGATTGTTTTTGAAAATTTTGGAGTATGAATTATCATAAAAAGGAGCAGATTGCCTTGCAATGAGATTTATTTTTATGAACTAAGCAAAATAGTTAAGGCCAGGAGATGGGTGGTTTTTTTTAAATAGATGGTTAAGAAAACTGCTTTGGTGGGGCACTTGGCAGACGAAACCGTAGAATAGGACCAAAGGGCAAAACCTTTGGCCTGTTGGGGTGTTTTTGTTTCAATCTTTTCCTGAGGGTTGAATCGAACGCGGCATAAATAGGATTTTTTGCGGCGATTTCAGAAAATTGAGACACTTTGGAAAATGTTTTGACTATTCTCATTATTATAACTAATTTTTCGATTTCTAAAAAAGTCGTATCAATGAAAATACCGCTGACTCTCCTGTGTACCTGCATACACGGCTAGTCTGTTTTTACGGTTCTTCATTTTCTACAGCCCTCGAAAAAGTCTGTGGGGGGATTTTTGACCTAGATTAGAAGGTCAAAATTTTTTCTTGAAAGCTACCCTCACTCATCTGATATTTTGGCTTGAAAGGAGAGAATCAGTTATTGGAAACTACCCTGCATTAGCAGCGACGCCCAAGTTTTTACAAAAAGAATCCTAGGAACTATCATGTTTGTGATTTTTGACAGTTTTTTTGAAACTTTAGACTTTTCTCGAAAACTACCTCCCCTAATCTCAGATTTTGCGTTCAACCGAAAGTACGGGTTGCGTGAAACTCCCCTGCGTTAGCACTCAGCATTTAGAACTCGAAATTTTAAACCAGTTTGTCTCGTAACTGGGATAGCTTTTCGAAGCAATTTCTTTGTCGTTGGAATCACGACTTAAAGGATTTTAATGTGATATAACACTCGACCTACTCCCATGATTATTTGAGGTATCTGATTTGGCGTAAAACCAAAAAGGAGAAAAAACTAAACACACCCCAATACCAAGTTGCTATCTGCTTACAATGGTCGGAACAGTAAATTCTAAAAAATCAGTCGAGAAATACTGAAAAATCTTATTTTAACTTGAAGATTTTTTCAGTCGAGCTTGAGACTGCTTAACATAGTTTTGAAAAAAATTTTGCGACTGAATCAAATTTCCTTTCTTACTACTAATGGTTAGGAAGGAAATTTGGATTCGTGTGTTTTAAGTGGTAATTCAAAAGGGAAAATTTTCATAGTATTTTTTTAGTAAAGAATAAATTGGTGTCGTTTGTTTCTGCATGTCATAAAAAGATCTGTTGCATGTTACGATGAAACGAAAAAATAAACCTGGGCATATTTGAGAGTCATAGTCAAAGAGGTCACTGGAAAATAATTTTTGAAGAAAAATGACTGGAAAAACGAAAAATAAAATTAAAAAAATTTGCAGAAATTTTTTTTGATTTTTCAAGTTTTTGATTCCCAAAATTGCGCTTAAAAACTCCAAAAACTACCTTTACGTGAGTATACTAAATTTTCACGGTTCATGCCTTTAAACCATACATTATTAATCCAAGCTATATTTCCTTAATTTATCTGTCTCCGTTCCCTCAAAATTGAAGAAAAAACCCACATAAATAAATTTGAACTGCCTTGAATAAAATGAATTTTCAAATTGATTTCTTAATGTCGAATGAACAAGTAATTTAAGGAACTGATCTCGCTGGTATCCCCCTAAGATTAAAAGCTAAGAATTTAATACTTAGAAATGTGGAAACTACCACCTTTGAACTGTTTCGATACAAGCAGCAGGAATAAGGTCTTATTTTTTCTAATCGACTTAAGAAAGCCATTTTTTTCAAAAAATTCGGTTCAACATAGAAAACATAAAAATATTTACCTTACTCCACAAGAAAAACAAACACGTTTCCTACATTTTTCTGAAGCAAAAAGAAAAAACTTCAATTGGTTTCGCCAGTAATGAAAAACTGGTAATTATAGTAAGGAAATAACTAATAACAATCTTAAAAATTGATAATTAGGTGTTTCCTCTCGAGTAATTGATCGACAGAGCAGTACCTAAAAATCAGATATTAAATTTATAAGAAAGATTTCTGAGACACATCCAGTAGTTTTTTATATATTCTTATCATCTCCAATTTGAACAGTTTCATTGTCAAATCACCCTGTAATTTATCTCCCTTAAGCGTAACGAACTGCCTGACAAGTAGTTCTTTGTCATCTAGAATTTTGTGCTCACTTTTTTCTGAAGCTATTCATAGTCTCCATAAAATTTTTTGAAAGTTTCTTGTTCTTTTTTGAACTGTTCTGTCAGCAATTCCATATATTTGAACTGCATATTCAAATACCTGTTCAACCTAAGTATTTCAACTAAATGCTTTCTTGTAAAAGTAACTAAGAATGTTTTTTTTTCCACGCGAAGTGTACACTTAATCTGATTTTGGAGTTTTGCAATAAGTGATAGAAAAAAGTTGTCACCATTAATAAATCTCCCGGTGTTCCTACAATTTTGTGTTAATTAATTTTAAATGTGTATCAACTGACCTTTTTCAGCATCTGGATTTAGGATACCAGTCATAATCTAAAGATGTTTAATGTTGGTTGTAAAATTACCAACTACCATTTGTTAAAATTTTTCGTTTTGTTTCCTTCGTTACTTTTTATTTAAACGGCTTCAAAGGTTTCCATTTATATTTAAGCTCCTTTGAGGCGTCATTTTGCGTCGTAAAGGGGGACTTGATAAAGTTTTCGAGGTGCAATTTTTTTCTAATGGTATTTTTTTTTCAACACAATGAGTGCCTGCTTCCGAAATTTTTCTTGCGATGCCTATTCAGCATTCGATTGTCCTTCTTGAAATTTTTTCTCTTATAGTTTTTCGACAGCGGTTATTGTGTCATTTTATGTCCACTAATTTGTCATGCTATGTTTGTTTTGTATCGCAAGTCATTTGTATCGCAAGTTTTGTATCGCACGACGAGTTTTGCGCAGACTAATTTGTGCTAATTGAACATCAATCTGCTACGCTTGTTCTTAATAATCCGCGTAGTATGTTGAGTTCTGGCTAAAATAGTTTTGATTGAGAATGAGTACGTTCGCGATTAGTAAGCGTTATCAAATCGGAGTATAGACTTTCTTCGGGTTAACTTAACTAACAAAATCACGCGAGTCATTTGATACCTTGATTTTTTTTTATTTCAATATCCTTAGCTTCTTCGGCACACTTGGATTAGAGGTAACGACCACGCCTGTAACAGCTAAGGTTCTAGCTTCGAATCTGACCAGGACCTGACTTCAAACGGAAAGTTTCCCGTTTTTTACAAGCTATCGTCGTTCTATGTTTTTAGGCTTGAAAAAATCGATTGTAAATACACTATCGGCCTATTGTTTGTATTCTTACGTTTTATCAGCTTAGTTGCCACATGACAAATTGTACGCAAGAGTTCTATTGCAATTGATTTTTTAAAAATTTATTCCTGTAAATTGTTAATGTACTCAGTCTGTTTTTTTTTGTAATTTTCTGATTTGGTTTTTTCTCTGAAAAGTTTATTTGCCTCGAAATTTTCGACATGTTTTATCGGCCTCGCCTAATTTTGCGTTTGAAAACAAAAATAATTTTTTATTTTCAGTGTTTTCAGAGTGGGAGCGTTAGAATTTTGTTTTCGGCTCAGGGGGATTTTACTTAATTTTTGTCGGCTTAATTATTGCTCGATAATTTTTTCTGAATATTTATTTAACGCCGGCGATTGTGTTTGTTGACGTGTTTTTCTCATTTTGAACATCGTTGCAGACAAATGTTCACTTTCAATTTTTTGTAGTTGTTGGTTAAAAACTACTTTCAATTTTTTGTAGTTGTTGGTTTATTGACTTAATTAATTTTCTGCATGTTGCTTTACCGTTTTTACTTTTTTCTAGATGCTAGCTTGCAAGCTACGTTTGTGTGGTATCGAAAATGGTGTCCACTTTGTGCCTGTCCAATTTTTTTTGCTGAATTTGATAATCTTAGGAAATTTCGACAACGACGGTAGATCTGAAGTTCTGCTGTCAGTATGGTATGGGTCTAATTCAACTATGAAGCATATGCTAATTTTGGGATAGAACGTTGACTGAGAAGTAGTCTTTGAATCGTTCTCCGGACGGAGATTTTATGTGTATTTTGAGTAAATTTTAAGCAACATGTTCCGTTCAACAGATTATTTGTTCTTTCATTCCGATCATCAGTTTGACATTTTGTAATTCAGACAACTCAAATCAATGTCGGAGGGAAAATGATTTTTGTGTGTGAAAAAAAAATTTTCGAGAAAATTGTATATGAAATGTTGACGTTCAGGCTCTTTTGATTGATTTTCTTATTATATTTTTGGTAGTACTTCGAAAGTAATTGATTTTTTATTAGACAATGGATTATAGAAACCGATTTATTTGTACTTAAATTAAGCTAGAAGCAGCTGGTAGAAAATAATTTTAAATGCTCATTCATCCTCCCACCCATAATAATTACATAATTTTTTCATTCGGTTTTTCAAAAAATGATGGTAGTAGTATCATTCAGAGCTGCATCCACAGCAACAGGTTTCTCATGTTTTATCTTTTCTTTTTCTTTTCAGATCTTCACTGAGTGAGCATGCATTCTCTCCCCTCTCTACACCCGTGGGTGATCCGCCAGTGTCCTGTGGCACGACCGAGATCCGCAGTCGAGCCTCATCCTCCTCGGGTAGCATCGGCCGAGTAAAATCGAACAGATGCAAAAGAAACACTTCCTCTTCCAATCAGAGCGCAAATAATGGAGATGCTAATGCAGCTGGATCTAGTCAGAAGCTACACTCTCCGTTACAGGCAGAAGATTATGAGCGATATGTGAACAGAGCCATAGAAAGGTTAGAGAGACGGTTTTATTTTAGTTCGAGTTTGTAGTTATTGCGGACCGATTCACATACTTTAAACGACACTCTGCCCAATTCTTGATGGTGTGGCATCAAATCCCGGCTCAATACTAGTTTTCTTGATTAAGTTGAGTGCAACGGTAAAGTGCTTGGAGCTGAATGGCGCGGGTTTTAGTTGTTAAATTTTAGTTCAAGAGTAATGTGTCTGCCGCTTCAATTGGAAGCTATATCTAAATCTAAACACAAATTTCAAATTGTTTTGCGCTTCAGCTATGGGGCAGACGAGGCCTCCTCTCTAGATGAGTCATTTGAGGATGCTTCCAGCAACAGACTGTCCTCTTACATCCAGGGATACCCCTCAGTGGACGAGGAGGAGTCCAGACTAGGAGCAGTCAGTGGGAGGGGCATGAGTGGCGGGGGTGGGGGCAAGAGTGGGGTCAGTTGGAGGCGCCAGAGGAGCACACGCATATCGGCACTGCTCACCTCTGGAAATAGTACAGACCGGTCTAGCACATACTCGTGGGGAGAAGATGTGAGTTCTGTTTGTCACTAAAAAGTTGTCTGAATCTGAAGCTGTTTAGTTAATTTATAGGTTTCTTTAAATAGCATTAAAGGTTTACGGTTGCTCGTTTGAGAAATTTTTTCAACAAAGCAGAAGGAAGTAAAGATCATCTAATCTTCTATAAACCGATAGTGCGTGTTTTGTCTATTTTTTTGTTTTATTCTTAAGTAAAGCTAGCAACAAATAGATCTGATTCATGCTTTTTGTTTAGTTTTTGAATACTGTTTTGATCTAAGACTGTTAAATTAACTTAAGCGCAGCTGGTATAAATTGAACTAGTTTAAACTAGAGCTCTCCAAATTGATGTTGGTCACAGAAGTGTAAAATCACTCCCGAAAAAATAACAGTGAGCAAGAATAAAAGAGCAGAATAAAAGAATCACTGACCATATCTGGTCTAATTGAGCCGAGAAACGAATCGCTTCTGAGAGGCTTTGAAACAAAGGTGCCATTCTTATAATTTAAAGTGCCATGCTCCAGGTGCATCTTTGAATCGCATCAGATTTCGTTTTTGTTGCTCTTTGAAAACCGTAGAAATCATATGGATGTTTCCAGCCATAAACCAACGTATGCTCTCAAAAACATTTCCTGCGTTCAAAGATTTAATAGATAAATTTTTAATATAACTTGTGAGGAACTTCTATCATAAAATAAAAGTACTTAGTATCCAGGGGTTTTGTTTTGTTTTGGTTCATTTTCAACTTCAATTTCAAAGATGTTTGTAGACTGGAATGGAGATTTATTGATATGTGAATGCTTTTCACTACTATAAGATTAACAGAAAATTTCTTGATCTAAAGAATTTAAATGATCATCGTGTTTATGAATGAATTCATCTAATAAAATCTCGATTGAGTATTTATGATGTTGCCAGTCAAGATAACTCGCGGAGCTGAAAAACTTTTAGTTCAAAGATCTTTTTGTTCACGGTGTTATATTTCGAACTTCTATATTTGTTATTTTTTTGGTTTTCGAGTTGGTTACCAAATCGACCTATAAAAGAAAAATGATTTGTTTTATTTATAACAAGTACCGTGTTCAAACGTTTTTCCAGGAACTCGCTGCCCCAGTGTATAGTATTTTGGATGTTTTTAGAATTAATCGTTGGTAGAGGGCAAATCAATCTTGCATAGTCTTGGAAAAAAAACGAAAGTTGTAATATCCGTAAAGAAGGAGCGCACTAAAAAGACCTGATCATTGCTATGGTCCTTTCACTGTCAGATGTATAACAAATAGTTTTTGCGAGGTTTGATCATCAATGTTTAGCTCGTCGATTGTTGAACAATATGAGCTATGGCGTACTATGGATGCCAGACATCCGACCAAACTTCTGGTCGAATTGAAATTAGGGACTTGAGGCCAAAAATCAATACAAAAGTAGCAAAAAATGAAAGACCATGGTCTCAAAACGCGAAAATTAGTAGATATGTATATTTCATGAAAACAGAGCATAAAATTGATGGTAGTCATAATCTCAAACCCGTTTATAAAAAACGCAAACAACGGCACTATTATTTGGAAAAAAAAAGACAAATCTTGCCTTCTAAAAAAATGGAACGAAGAAAAATGTCGGTCACAACTGATCAGCTTTCATGCTACTATTGTCTTATGCATTATTTTAAGAAAGAGATGATTGTTTTAGGTTGATTAAAATAACAATTTATAACACATTGCATTTGAAAAACTGCTCGAGCTAGCGAACTGAAAAATTTCTGATCAGCTTTTTGACTAATATAATTTTAATTGACCACTAATTTAATTGAACAATTTTTTTTGGAAATTTTCATAAAAAGTTTAAACTAAATTCATTCGAGCAAGTTTTTTTTAGCGTTTTGCAAAATTTTAAAATTCGGACGTAAATTATAGGAGTTTTACTTTAAAAGTATTGACTAAAAATTAAAACTTGAGAGTAATTTTGCCGTAAAGAACTTGTTAAAATAGTGTGCAAGAGTTATTGCTACTCAACTGTGTGTGGGTGAATATAAAAATATAATTTAGGATTGGTATGCATTTGAAGTACCCGTTCAGTTTGAAGTTTGTTTTATGTGGGTTGTAAATTTAGTAACCCCGAAGTTTTTTTTCCGTTCACAAAATTTCTTCAGATTTAGCGGGATCGGCTCTTGTTAAAAAGGGTTATTTGCCTCGGTGACGTTTGAACGATGAGTATAGACTTTCATGCGCATTTGTGTTTTTCAGGGATTTCAGAGAGTGTTTTTTTTGCTCATGTATGACATCTTTTTCATCTTAAAGAAATTCTACCCAAGTTTTATCGGCTTAGATACCGCTTCTTAAAATTTTTCTTTCAATGCAGTTTTAACGCTGAAATTTTTTTCCCTGGCATGTTCTAAAACAAATTGAGAGTATGAAATTATTGTTAGAAGTAGTCTTTAGACTTGCGAGTGTCTTGTAATAGCTAGACTTTTTTGTCGTAAACAACCTTTCGTACACACTTGTTAGAAATTGAACTTGCTTCATTAGTGAATCCTGGTAACTTCCAGGTTTCTTCCTACTGCAGGTAACGTATTCGTTTTTGCACTCTTTTGCACCCTAAGGACTTCGTTTTTTCAGTATGTCTGAAATGGAACTTTTTTTTTTCTGGATTCATTGAATTGTCAGATTTTCGTAAGTCTGCTCAAGATTTGTCGGCTTAGATGACGCATCTCGGTTTTTGTTTGTGCTGGAAGCAAGTTTTTTTTGTAGTTGCAAGTGTTGTTCATGGTAGACTCTGGGAAGATTTCAAATTTTTTAAAGTTTTTTTTTATAAAATCATTTTTTTTCGGCTCACCTGGTGTCTGCTCAAATATTGTCGTCGACTTGGTTTCCGCTTCGTAAGTTTTGTTCCCTTGATAATTTAAAATTCAAATGTCTTGATTGGCATGTTTGCCTACATATATATTTTATCGAGACTTACGAAAATGTTGGTAGACCTAGGTAGTTTGAAAACTTGTTTCATTTTTTTCTCATTTCTTTGAGTTAGTGATGTATCGAAAATGGTGCGAAGCTCCGCTTCGCCTCTGTATAAAACATTTTATGCCATTTTGCGTCTTTGTGACTTCCTTCGTTTTCTTTTGGTTAGCTTTCCATACTATGTTTGTGATATATTGCAAGTGGTGCGGCGTTCCGCTTCGCCTCTGTGTTCAAATTGGTTTAGTTGTTCCATACTTCAAGAAACAAGTAAAGATTATAGTTTTGTTCCGGCCGTTTGTTCTAGTTACATCAAAAAAAGCATTTTGGGGTTAATTGCTGTATCATTTTAATTCTGTTTCGTTTTCTTTGCTATGATAAATAAGGTCCAAAAATTTTGTGGTTTGAATTGTAGGAGTTTGACAAGCATGCGACCAAGTGTGTGGCCTCCATGTTCGAGGAGATTGACCAGGTGCTGTTCGAAGACCGCAAGTCCAGGAATGCAGTGCTCAACAAGGAGTGCAAGGAGTGGACCAGCGAGTTCACTTACATCAGGTGAGAGCAATTCTGTTCTGTGATCAGTAGTCGTGGCGTTGTGGTGCATGGGTAGTGCCAGTGCCCAGCAATCATATGATTGCGGGTTCAAAACGCGCGTGCGGTGCAATTTACTAGGTGACCTCTTGTAAGATTGCCATAGCTCGGTTAACTTTAAATAGTTACCCTTCGGGCTTGGCCTTTGGCTGGTAAAGTAAAAAAACTTTTAGATTGCCAAGAGAGAGTGCTCTGATAGTTCTTCAGGTAATTTTGCGACTGCGCAAAAGCAGTTGTCTTGATAGCATAGGAGGCTTATAGGTCATCAGCTACGCGTGGACTAAAGGTGATGACTTTAAGTGCAGTCGTAACATTTTAGTAGGGTTAAACAACATGGGTGAGTTCTCTCTACCCCCTCCCACACTTGCACAGGCGCCTTGTCTATAATTTGGGTTCATGTTTTCTTAAACAATTTACCGCGAAGCAATTACTTCTCAAACCTCAAAATTTTGATAATCAATCTGGAACTTAAAGTCAATACAACTTTTCAATTGACTTTTCTCAATCTAACGTCAGTCAAATAAAGTCGACTGAAAATCAATTTTTAGGGTTCTGGGAAGCAGTGTCTGCAATTCAGAAAACAGCGATTTTCTGTCATCTATTGGAGTATCTACCCCAGTCCCGACGACCAGACACCAAAGTAAGGCTAGCCGGAATTCTCTTCCGACAAATGGGGACGGAACCTCGTCTCTCAGCCAGCTCAATGAATCCGAAACCAGCAGTAGTGGGTTCCATTCGGATACTGTTAATAATGGATCGGCATCTACGCAGGGTTACCGAACAAGTTCCGATGTGACGAATGAATCGCCAAGTGTTTCTACGAGCGGAGGAGGCAAAACAGGAGCACTGGTGAAAAGAAACTCGAGTCAGCAGATTGCTAGGCGCTCTTCGGATTTGAACGCTACAGATAGCTCGTCATCAATTACAAATGAGTAAGTGCAATTATAGTAATTGTTTCACCATTTTATTGAGTTAAATGTAAGTTTTTCGGTTTTATTTCATTTTTTATGACATTTTTTGGTACTGTGATCGCGCATACTTATTGACTCATAATATTTGAGATACTTTAAAGAAATTTTTGCAAAATTAGGAAGATAATAATGCCTGAAATTTTTGACGGGGCTTCAGTCTACTAAACTAAATCTGTGTTTAGTTACTGTGTGATGGGAATGGGAATGGGTATCAACCGAGTGCCCTCTCCAACAGTCCCTTCCTTTGATCACTACCAGGCCCACACCCCCCTGGGACCCCTGGATATGTATGTTGAGGAGACATTCGAGGAAGAGGGAGAGATTGAGGAAGTGTTCGCCTATGACAATCAGGTAATTTTGCCGACTTCTTTAAATTTTCGATTTACTAAAAGTACAAGAAAATGGCAAATAAATTTTCGATTTGAGCCGGATTTAATGATATTTTTTGTTTCATTCCCTCAATCTAGGGTCTTTTTGGTTATACATCCCTAAATGATAGAAATTAAAATGAATTTTTTTATGAAATGGGATTGAATTTACTTTTAAAAAAAGCAGGGTAGATCTCCAGAGCGTTGACCCGACTCAAAAAATTGCAACAAAAATCAGTTTAAACGACAATTAAAACCGCATTTGCTCTGATTTTTATGGAGTTTCTGTGTTGAAAACGGCAAAAAGAATTAAGAAAAGAACCCGTTTGAGGCTAATTTAGGTGAAATTGCTTCATTTTGCTATATTCAAATTCTAACTTTTTCTGAATTATCTATCCAATTTTGTGAATGCACTGATTTTCATTTATCATCACTTTGGGGTAATACAACCGAAGGACCCTCAATATGTAATGTGGCCGATGTGGAATTGCGAAATTCGTTGAATTTTTCGAGGAATTTCATGATTTATCCAAATATTTTTTGTCTGTTCGATGGTGGTTGGCTTTTAAATAAAAATGATGTTTGTGGCGGCGGTTAACATTTAAGAGAGCGATAAAAATTCGAATAATTTTGATAATTTATTGTGAATTAGGAATTGTCGACGGAGGCGCCGGATGGAGGAGAGATGGCGAATACGGAGACGAAGTTCCACGTGCCCAGGAAGAAGCGAAGGGGATTCCCTCCTGTCACGCCCTTCGCATGTACAAGAGACACCACATTCGACAACGTGCTTCAAGCTTGTTGGCCAGAGGTTAACAATTCTGTTTTTATAAATATTAAAAGTTTGTAAAATCGTCTTTGTTGTAAAAGACAAGTTTTGTTTCCGTGAATGTTAGTTAGAGCTCTCGGAAACATTTTTAGTTTGTTAACAATTATCATTTTTGCAAAATTTTTGAATTGAACGCAATTTGGGGTTTTGATTGCAATAAAGTTTTTGTTTTGAGATCTGAGCGTCAACTTTGTAATTGAGTTCAAAATTGTGTATTATTTAGATATTTTTCTTTTTCTAGATCATCCGTATTTCCTTGAATTACATCAGCAAACGTGTGGCCAACATATCCGACAAATTGTCCGACGACATTCAGGACAACTTGGTCACCCCAGACAGCCAACTGTCTCCCCACAGCAAAGAACAGCTAGTTTCCATGCAACAAGCAGGCAGGCTGGGATCTATTGTGGGTGGGGGGGCAAACATGACCTCCTCGCAGATCAGACTAGGAACTGCTAATTCACAGGCCACAGCTGTCGAACTGAGTGATGTTCTATCCATTGCACCCAAACGAATTGTGTATCGAAGGTAAGTTTGAGAATTGTAACTCGACTGAATCTGAAAAAATGATGAAGCTGTAAATGTTTGATATTTCTGGTCGTCGCTTCGCAAAAACATACAACTGACAAAAATCATAATTTAACTGATTTATTTAATTTTCAAACAAAACAAATTCTCATTAAGTGGTATACAAAAATTCAGAGGATTGCGCCATTTGTCCCGGAATAAAAGCTACTCTTGGCGAAGTAAAAGCGATTGCTCTTTGCCTATAAAGCGTTTTGAACTAAATATCTAACTTTTCGGGTAGTCTATCATTGCGAGTTGTCTTTTGCCTCTGTGCCTTTTCTTACATGTTAATTGTAAAGTGAGTTTATTATTTGAAACATTTAATTTGATGTTAATTTGTTGTGGTTTCAGAGAGGATCCGGCGACTAACTCCACAACCAACTTCTACTTCAACCCCAACTCCAAGAACCAACACCTCTCACTGGTTGCCAACGGAACTGCTATCTCAAAGTAAGCCATGGCTGTATGTTTGGAGTGGGCATATGATTGACTGAAGTTGACCCCAGGGTCCATTTGTCAACAAATTTGACCTAAAAAACCTGCATCTAAGTTTTGGCTATATTTAACTGAGCTTTCAAAATTTTAATTGAATTGTGAAATCAAAGTCTTTTGAACTTTAATCGCTAGATGCAAATTCCGAATTTGGATCTAGAATGTGAGCCCAGCGATTAGAATTCAGATGGTTTTAAATTAAAAGTTCTAGTAATTTTTATAAAACTCAGTTTAAAATGGCCAAAATGATCTTTGAAATGCTCTAATAAAAATCTGAACGGCATTATCAATTATCCTCTGCTTAAAATGTCTCCCAGCGTCAGTGATACATGGCCATTATGTTTCAGCAATGTGGTGACGAAAAACAGATACCCTTCAGCGAAGACGAGATTGCAGCCGATCTCCATGGCCAGGAACAAGCAGAGGGGAAGTGTCATCAGTGGACCCTTCAGTGGACTGTCCAACTACCTCATACACTCGAACGCCACCCAAGCGGCCTCAGGTACCTCACTTGAATCTTCATTTTTTCACCCAGTTCAAACTAATCCAAAGTTTTTGAACTAAAAATTTATCTAGTTTTTTTTGGGAGAGCCCCGGTTCAATGCGAAAATGTAAGGTTTTTGATGCCTCTTGTGACAATAAAATTGCAAGATGTCAAACTAATTAGTAGTATTGACGGTAGCAGGACAATTGTCAACTTTCCAATCTACCCTATTCTATTTTACCCTATACCATTTTATCCTATATACCAATTTAATCTCAGTTTTTTAACCGTAATTTTCCATTTTTTTTCTACAAAAATTATGTTTATGATTTGTATTCGTAGATTTCAGTTGTTTGTTCAATTTTAGGACCTTCGATGGTACATAACCCGATGGTGGTGCGGAAATTGTTCCCCGAAACGCAAATGGCGGCTGACCGAATCATGACCCCTCCGATAACCCTAGGTGGTGGGGGAGGGGGTTATAGGTATAACCAGCTACCGCCTATAGACCCGACTCAGGAGTCTGATTTCCAAAACCCTCCTCTCCCCGCGGCCAGTCAGAATAACAAGACTGTGAAAGCGATATCGAGTGGAAACAGCAGTAAGAACAATCCAAACTCGCGTGTGTTCAGCGCGAGGACAGATGAAATAGGCGTGAAAAGGGCGGTGAAAACCTTCGCTTTGCAGAAAGAGAATTACTTCATTGATTACAGCAGACCTAGCACAACAGCTGAAATAAGGGTTTGAAATTTTGAAGTTTTACTGAATACAGGGATTGATTTCTTTCAGAAACTAAAAATTATTTCACGCTAAATCAGAGGGCAAAGATGTTCTCGAGGGGGGGGGGGACTGATTTTCGATATTTGTTCGAAAATTAATCGACCTTTAGGTTTTGTCGACCAAATTGATTTTCTGCGCACTCAAATCAATGTAAACCAAAATTGTTGACCAAATATTTGTTTTTTGACCACATTTTGAACCGCCTCATTGTTTTGTTTCACTTGAGAGAGCAAATGTACTTGTAATCGGGATTAAGTCTTTTCCCGTAAACCATTTTTACAAATCTATTTTACCTTGCTTTTTATGAAACCGCAGTAATCTTCAATCCCTTCCAATTTGATATAGTGGTAAAGTGCGCGCGTTGGGAACCTATGGTCTGATGTTGAATCCCAGCCGGACCTTGGCTTTTATAGCTATGGAATTTGAATAAAAATTGGGAAAACTTGTCGGCTTACTTTCCAAAGATTTCTGAAGATGCAATTAAAGATTTTGTATAATTTTTTTGTTTTCTTTATTTACGCTAGCGAGCTTGCGAGCGTGAGTGTATTAGTACGAACCTTTTTTTTCTACCCTAACTCGTAAATAAAAGTGTTCATTATTTGGTGACACTTTTGCTATAATCACGATCTGTAGCATTGGATTTTTCATAGCATCTGTTCTCTGCTTTGTTTGAGGCTAGTGTTTGTGATAATTTAAGCGTCCGTGGGTGAGCAGTTTGTGCGAGGGATTCGTATATCGTAGGCTTATTTTACTTTTTTTTATTGCACTTAATAGAGCTGATTTTTGTCGTGTTCTTGCTAGTGTTTGCGAAGCGCAGCTTCGCCTCTGGGTATAACTTTGCTTTGAACGTTCTTTGTTATAAATATTTTCGTCGTGTGTTATATCGGTTCTGTGGACATAACAACTAGCTATTTTTCAATTGGTTTTTAGCAGTTAAACTTGTCTATTATTTTTCAGTTATTTTTTAGCCATTATTTTTTCGAGTTCTTGACTTCTGTCTCATTTTCTATCCACTAGCTTGCAAAAGCTGCATGTGTGTTATATTCAAAGGTGGTGACGCTCGGTTTAGCCCCTGGGGATTAGCTCGCTTCTCGAACTCACTTTCGGTCTGCTGACTCTAGATTTTTGGGGTGAGGTTGATGATTAAGTTTTTCAAAAAAAGCACGTTTGATTTGAACCATCTGATAGAAACAAATTGAAAAGCAGAACAACCGTAGAAATCACTGACTAGCTCTTTGTCGTTTTTTTGTCTATGGGAGGGTAATTGTTTTAGAGTAATTAACCAGATAGTTGATAGCACACCAATGGTCAAACCGAAGAATAGTACGTAATATTTAGAATTTAACGATGCCGCATGACGTTATAAATCATTTTTTGTAGGGAGTTGGTAAAGTGAATATCTGTATACACCTAGTGAGTATCAAAGTTACACCGCATTGTCCTCGCTTGGTAAGACGCTGTGCATTAAACCGTTTTTATCATAATTTATTGATTTTAGAAATGTGATAATTAATTTATGACTGCGCGCCGTATTTTTTGCTCTAGTTTTTGCACTAATGAAGCACAGAATGTAAGATTAGTTATGCCTTGATTGACAAGCTTAATGGCTAAAATGAAAAATGGTTTTTGGTGATGTTGGCCATTGTATTGTGCCAAGACAATTACGATAGCCATAAAAGTTCTTAATCAGCTCAGTGCATAATTGCTGGTATTAAAATCATCATATTTGTGTTCTGTTGAAAAGCGACGACTAAGAAAAGCGTAGTTTTTTGGTAAAATTATATGCGTGGCTCTACTACAATAAGACTTGTCAGACTGGAGTGGTGCGTTAAAGCGGCTTTGTTTTGAAAACATCGACTTTTAGACATCTGGCTTTTTCGAGCGATAAAACCGTCCCCTGTTATTCAAAAAATTGCAGATTGTTGTTGAAAAAGTGTTCAAAAATCAAATATTCAGTATAATGCAGTTGTGGATTGTGTTTTGGAAACGGCATTAATTTTTAATTCCTTTTTTTTAAATAACGCCTGCCTGCCTGCTTAGAAAAAATGCTTTTCATTGATTTTCGATTGAGTTTTAAAATCAACCGTTGAGTGTAACGCCCATTTCGCTGTTCTCCGATCTTCTCTGCAATTATGTGGCGCAGATACTGGGAGTGTTGTTCTTGGCTCTAAAAAGAGCAATAAATTGATTATGTTTGTGCTAGATTCGCCAAATTTTGAAATAGCATCGGGCTTCTGTTCAAACAAGTTTTTGTTTCATTTTGGACCAAAAACCTAATTATGAACCAATTAATTCTATAGAAAAAAAACAGAACATTTTGTTTCATTTGTTCTTTATAATCCCTGTTAAAGATAAAAATCATGAGGGTTTTTGGAAGCACGTAAAATCTAATGTGCTTATGACCATATGCTCGTATATTGATATAAAAAAATATGTTAAGCTGTTAATATAAGAAGTAATTTTTCAGTTATTTAGGTTTTTGTAGTACTATTGAAAAACTTCTGTCAAACTTTTAGGACGAAGTTCCGTCGTCACCCCTGGGAAACTCGAAGTGGCACCCCTACTCACTCTACCACACTCAAACACCCCCTCAGATATCCCCACTGGTGACCACCACCACCACCACCGCCGCCCACCTACTGAGGAGTCGCAACTCACAGGACTTCCTCAGTCAGGGTCTAGTTGGCAATGGAATAGTGGGCGTCTCTATGAACCTCAACTACAGAGAGGACAGTACGTTGAGTGACGAGACTGTGGGGGGAGGGGGAAATTATGGGGGGACCAATATGTATGGGGGTCAACATAATCATCATCATCATCCAAGCTCACAGGGCCAACAGCACCAGTATCCACAGCAGCAGCAGCAGCAGCTTATGCACGGCAACAATAACTACAGCAACAACAACTATCACATGCACTACGCGCTAAATCATCAGCACCACGGAGGAGACCCTTCGTATGGTGAGTTGCTATAGCCAATAGGCCTTTTTACTGTTATTTAAATGTGGTGCGTGATTAAAAGACGCGCCTTAATTTTATTTAAAATACTCTTCAATCGCTCCTTAAATTTTATTAAATTACTCTCTTTATGTGAAAAAATGTTGTTGTTAGTGCCAAAGATTTGTTAGTGCCAAAGATCTTGTATCAAAAGATTTAGTGCCAATTATGTTGCGTACAGAGGTTATTCATTAATGCAAACTCGTAATAATGTAATTTTCCGTGGATTGGGCTTGCGTGTTTATTTTCGCATTTGCTATAGTCTGACAAGACGAGATAATTGTAATAGGCTTACCTACCTCGCGTTTATTTAAAAAGATTTTTTTGTTGCTTCACATTGTTTTAATTGGTTTGTATTTGAAGCGATTACAGCTATAGACGAACTGTAGAAAGGAAAGGTATAAAGCCTCTGGCTTCATCGCCTAGGAAATGTGTCGCTGCCTGCTCAATGTTGCGCTTCGATTATTAGAAACCTGAAAGCTTTATGATACATGGCTTAGAATGTAGGCTAGTCCAAACTGATGGTTTGTCCAAATATTTGAGTAGGCATCTAGTTAAATTTTGCTATTTTGTCCATTGCGTTTTGTGGTTTTAGCAATGGACCTATTTCTCATTTCAGAGTTTGTTGCCAAATAACTTTTAAATGGATGGTGGATGCTTTGGAATAGAAGAAAAATATATTTTGGTTTATCAAAAGAGTTTGATTGAATCGAATTGGCTCTTTATTCTTTGCATCATAGTGCAATGTTTTCGCCCAATTCATTTTTGGCGCTGAGGTGACTGAATTAGTTTTAACTGTTTGGTTTTTACAGGCAACCCTGATCAACAGCAGCCGAATTCCAGACCCTCTTCAAGACATCCCAGAAATACGAAATTAGGAACAGCGCGGTAACTTCTGGCTCCTATCGACGTTTAACCATCTGCATTCATGACGTCATTACAGAACGACATTTCGCATGAAATTTGACATGAAACTTCTATTTTATTTGTTCTCTATTTTTTTCTCCTGAGACTGGGCATTATGTCTAGTTTCACTCAACATTGGTGCTATTTTATAAAATTCTATTCTATTTTTGTGACAGTATTTTCTTTCCCTCTATTTAGATGCTTAAATGTCCCCCAACAAATTGTAAATACTTTTGGTTTCCTCCTCAATTTATTGCATATCGAATTGGAAAATAGATTATGAATATATACTACAGATATTACCTGAATTTTGTAACCATAGTTTAGTTTGCTATATTTCCACTAGCGTCAGCTTAGTGTGTTATTACAGACCTTCTTTTTTTCTAACCTAACTCGCAAATAAAAGTGTTCATTAAAATTGTTCACTTGTTTGAAAAATTCACCGGGCATTGAAAATTGCGTAGCATCTGTTCTCTGCTTTATTTAATCTGTTTAATGTGTTTAATCTTCTGTCTACCAGTCATAAGCTTCGTGGCTGAGTGGTTAGTGTGTAAGAATTTCTATCTCGAGGTTGCAGGTTCGAGTCCCAGCCTGCGACGATTTTTTTTGCTAATTCTATGCTTATTTGTACTTGTTCTTATGGTACTTTATGGAGCTGCTTTTTGTCGTGTTCTCGCTAGTGTTTGCAAAGCGAAGCTTCGCTTCTTTGTTTATGTCGTAACGAGATACTATAGCAGATGAAAATCATTAGATGAAGCTCTTAATACCGATATAGTTTAGTTGAAAACAGCCAAGCTACAGGCTTCATTGTTTGTTATCAAATAATTTAAACTAGTCATGAAGACAAGCGGAGGGAATTGTTCAAGTATAAATGAATGAAAAAGATTTTATAGGTTTTGATAATTTTTTTAGAAAAAGTCTTAACATTCGTTTACGCTCAAATTTGACTTATGTTTGTTTGACTTGTGATTTCTTTTCAACTTCACTTGATTTCGTTTGTTAAATGAAGTCAAACTCTATTATTGAACAGCAACAGTGATTAACTTCTACTTTCAAAAATGGGCTTAGGTTTTTAAGAGTCGATGAACGTAGTTCAGACTATTATATAGGTCGTGATGATGGTAGTTTACGACAGGAAATAGCTCTCGTAGTTTGCTCTTTCGCAGTTTGACTTTTAATTTATTTTCAGATTCAGTACATTGCTCTTAAAAGGAAATAAAACTCCACTATCGAACAGCGAATGTGTACAGATCACGAAAAGCGTGATCGACTAATAATTTCGAAAATTGTTTTTAATTATCAGATTTCCCAACGCAATAAAAAGTGTATTTATTAAGAGTCGATGACAGGTCGTGATAATGTTTTTGTTCAGGCTTAAATTTACTTTTTAGCGGTTTGATTTTCGATTTCTTTTGAAGTTCATTTCCTTTGTTAAAAAGAAGGCAAGCATCACTATAGAACAGTAAAGTGTGGAGGGCACGAAAAACGTGATCATCTTTTAACTTCGAAAATGGAAATTAAGTATCAGATTTCCCAGCGAAATAAAATTTTAACCGAATGATCCAGTTTTCTCAAAGTAGATTATTTTATCAAAGGTTCAAAGGTCTTTAAGGTCATCTATTTTTTTCTGGGAAATTCGAAAGTTCATTTTCTTTCAAAACACGAGTCATCAGGTTATTCCTGTTTACTTGCAATCATTAACTTTTTCCAACTGTCTGTTGGCTATGTTTTGAGTTCCCAGCGGAGTTAAAAGTTACCCATTCTTCTAGTTTTCTTAACTTAGATTATTTTTTGTGGTGCAAGATCAATTAAAAAAGATTCATGCAATTTTTATGTTTATTAGTGCGAAAAAACTTTTGTAGGTGAACGTGGTGAAGAAACTTTTATATGTGAACGTGGTGACGAAACTTATACAGGTGAACGTGGCGAAGAAACTTATATAGCTCGTGTTGACTTTTTCTTTTTAGGAAAAGTCTTAAAAATTGTTCACGCTCAAATTAGAGTTTTTGTAGTTTGACTTCTCATTTTCATGCTACTTTGCTGAAGAAAGCCGAAAGTGGAATAAAAAGAGTATGTTTGCTCAAATGTGGTCATTTTTATGAAAAAAAAGCCAATCATAGATACTTTTTGTAATTCAAAAAGGTTTAATGGATATATAATTTTTCAGCTGTCGGTTGGCTGTTTTTTGTACAATTCGAAAGTAGCAGCAAAAGGGTTGTGTTTTGTCAAATTGCTATTGAACAACCCAGATTAGAAAAACGTAAGTGTAATTGTAATCGGGAGCGCAAGTGTAAATATAATCGGCAACTAGACGTTTGTAATTAATCAGTTTTTCTGAAAAATTTTTTAGAAACGGACATTGATTTTTTGAGAGACTTCAATTTTTTCAGATTCCTTCACACGACCTAGTGGTAATCGCGCGTCTTAAGGTCCAAGAATCAGCGATTTGAGTGACGCTGTGTTCTTTGACAGCTGTTCTGTGTTTGGACCATGTTTTTTGATGGTGCAAACTGATTCTTTTTTGCAAAAACTATAAGTTTTCTCGTCAATTAAACATTTTTTGTAATTTAAAGTAGTTTTAGATTGTAAGCTTATCTACTCTGATTTCGTATAAATTCTATTTTTTTTTCACTTCATTAGCCTAAATGGTCTCTTACGTTATAGGTTAGTTTGAGGGGGCAAAATAAGACTGATATTTTTGCGTGTTTTAGATTCGATGGGGCTGCAAATATTTTTTCAAGGGGATGGGGCTAAAAGTTTCGAGTTTCACAACTTAAGAGCTCGAAATGTTGTTTGACCGCAGTTTTTTTTACTCAACAAGCATATTGTCAGCTTAGGGGCTTGTTAAAATCTCTGAATGGTCATTTAACGAACGCTGGTGATTTTGTTTCTCGATAATTTTGTGTTGTTGGGTAAGGTTTTTTTTGTAGCTACGCTTCGCCTCTGTATTATCATATAGTTATTGATTACTGGTACATTGTCTTGGCTTGTCTTATAGACACAATAATTCATGCAGTCGTTTTTCCGAAAAAAGAGTTGTTTATACGAGTTTCAGGAGCAGAAAAAATTCAAGAGCAACTGTTTTTTTTTTGCGAAGTTACCTTCAGACGAGTGTTTGATAAACGTGCTAGCAACAAACGTGATGAATTTGGAAGTTAGTTGCCAGGTTTTGCTACTGCAAATGATGATATTTCCGTGTAGAGTTGAGTTTGTTTTGGTCGGATAAATCTTCCCTCCGAAGGTTTTTATGCCGACTTTCGAAGAAAGTGATGGAATAGTTATTCTCGGTGAGGTTTTTTCTCCAGAGAAATGTCGACGTTTCAGCTAGAATATTTTGACTGATTTTTTAAAATGAATCTGAAAAAAAGGATGTATCGCTGCCCACACCAAGGATATTGATTCTCAGGGCTTAACAATTTTAATGATAATTTACCTCAAAATTATTGTTCCGATCATCGAAAATGGGGAGGGACTTTATATTCGGGTGTGTTTGTTTTTTTTTCCAATCAAAATCATCCGACTGGGTTGAGTGATATATCGTATTAAAGCTCTTTCAGTCGTGATTCAAACCACATTAAAAAATTCTCAACATTTTTTTTTAAATGTTGAGAAAAACCGATTTGAAGTTTTTTCGTCTTAAATCGAGCGAATAAAGCACGCGAGCAGGCTTACAACAGCTGAATTATGCCTAATATAAGACATAAACTTAATTTTAAGCAAGTGAAACTAGTTTTTGGAGTTTTTTTAGCTTCATTTTGGGAACTTTTTTTAAGTTTTTCTAGTCACTTTTCTGCAAAAAATTTTGTCCAATTTGCCTATATCACTATGACTGTCTAATATGCCTAAATTATAATTTTACGTGAGATTATTTTATCACACCAAGCAAAAAAAAACTACACTTATTTGGAAAAAAAAACTTTCTCAACCGTAGTGTTCTAAAGACTGGTCGGAACATTCTGTGCTACTTGCACAGTAACCAGCTATCCCTGTTATGTTATAAACTTGGAGCTACTTTGACAACTACTATTTAAATTGGTATATATTACGTGCGAAACGATATATTTTGTCCTATTAGGGCGTAAGCGCAAATTAAATCATTCCAAAAAAACTGAAGCAATCAATGTGCTCTTAGTGATACTTTACCAGCAGCATAGCGTGTGGGAGATTAAAATTGGAAATAGATTTTTTTGAAAATTCAAATTTTTCTTGGCGAATATTTATTTTTTAAGTATTAAAACAAAAAGCTTTTGATCGATCGGGAGGTGTCTTTTTGCAATAATTTGACCGCGCGCCTCTTACAAACAGAACTTTCGAAGCCATTAATATGCGTTTAAAACAAAAAGGAAACGATTATTGAGCCAACTATGTCCGAGCCAGTTCTCCAAGAAATAACCCTTATTTAGTTGCATTGCGTCATTCAAATGTCATTATTGCGTTATATCCTCATGATCCATCGCTATTGAAATTGAGCTAATAGCTTGATTTTTAAGGCAGCCAATTCTCTAGTAACGTCTGGCATCTTTGAACAGTTAGTAAAGTTTGAGTCTAATGAGCGAAATTCAGGGTGTTGAGTATAGAGTGTTGAGTAACTGATTGTGCGAACTTCTTGCTTTTCAATGAATTTATTTACAAATCATTTTTTTGTTCTTATTTTTTTGGAACATTCAAATCGCAGTTTTGCTTCCGTGTATAAGGTTAGTTTCTGTGTTGTGATGACTGTTAAAACAACAATTTGCGGCCGAAATAGTATCTTTGGACAAAGTATGACGATAAAAGATCTATTTTTGAAGCACAGCTTTTGAGTTGGCGTTTGATCAATTAACTGCATGTTTCGATCTAGTACGATTGCTTCTTGAGCTGTGCCCAGGAAACGCTGTACACTCATTTTGTTCATATAGGATCTCCGAAGCTGTCCTCTGGGTCCTTTTCTGTTTAACGGCCCAAAACTAAATATTTTCATATTTTGAAAATTAGATCATAATGTTCAAATCTGGCTGATTCAAATTGATTTTAGTGAACGAAAATCTGGATTCTCAATAGAAACAGAGCCTCAATTAACAATTTCATTATTTTTTCGCCGTTAGAAAAGACCCGTCCTCTTTTTGAGATTTCTTTTTTCCCAACATAACAGTCATGAGGAATGAGCACCTGTAAGTGTTTTCGCCGCAATTAGAGGCTAGATGTTCCAACTCAATTGTCGTGCAGGAGCAGCTTGCCCATTACTCCACAGCGGTAGATTTAGTGCACCGTAGCATTATGAGAATGCCACGATGCACTAACTCTCCATCTCAACCAAGAGAAT